ATAACGCTTCAACTTCTTCTCCGGGGGGGACTTGCGGAGCCATCCCGAGCAAACCACTTCGCCGCCGCTCATGGTGCACGCCGTGAGGGCTCGAGGACCAGGCACCGAAGGGGTCGGTGGACACAGTGGACGCGCTCCGGACACGACAAGCACACGCAGCCTAGAGGACGTCTCAGATTCCCCCGACGGGGCAGCCCGGCTCCCCGCGCCCTGTGTCGGCGATCGATCCTCTCTCCCACAGACCCGCGGACCGAAGAGGAACCCGATCGGGAACCGCGGTGACCAGGGCTCGCCGGCCTTCTTTCAGTGCACCCTCCTGGCCGCCAGGCGCGCCGTCCCGCCGCCTAGGCAGCGGTCGGGCTCGGCTGGGACTCTGCCCGGACTGGGAGCGGGGAGCTGGAAGCCCTGCGCTCCGCCCCTTGGGGACAGGACCTCCCGCGGGCGCTCCCCGCTGCGGACCCCACGCTGCACGCGCACACACAATGCCCGCGCGCGCTGTCCGCTCCGCTCCGCCCGCTGGCCCTTTCACACTGAGAGGGGCTCGATCTTCCCCTTCCCTCTGCTCGGAAAAGGGTGCCTGGGAAGGCGTCCGGCGTCCGGGTAGCAGCCGGCGCAGGAGCAGGTCTTGATCCGCCTAGGGAGTTCGCGGACCAACGGCGAGGCTCGGGGCGTCGCCGGGCGTCGGGGAGGTCGCGGGTCCGTGGCGGGGGGGTGGGTCTGCGCTCCAGCCTCCGATGAGGGCGGGGATCAGTGCAGGGACGAGGCGAAGGGCGGCTCTGCTCCGGGGAGGGACCCCTCTGTCCGGTCCCCTGCGCTCCTCCCCCACCCCGGGGGCGCGCGGCGGGTTCAGGGAGGCGCGGCCCGGGCCCCGGCCCTCCTCCTTCTAGTCTTTCTGCCTCCCCTTCCCACGATCGGTTGCCTCTAGCTTCTGCCCAGACTTTCTCTGAAACTCCTCCGGAGCGCTTCCAGCCAAAACAACAAGGGCTGGGGAGGCGGGGCCGGCGCTGGGAGGGAGCGAGATGGCAGAGGCACCCTGGGATCTGTAGTCAGCCAGCACGCTGGGGTCCTCACCGCCCCGCCGCCCCGGGCCCGCGCGCTGGGGAAGGCGGCCGTCTCCGGGAACGCAGCGCCACCCCAGTGTGAGCGCGGGAGTGCGGGGCACGCTCGCCTGCTCCGACTGAGTTTGCCATCTTGACAACACCCGGTGTCGGGAGTTTGTACTCGGCTGTGCCTTCGCGATCCAGAGTTTCAGAAGGTTTTCCCTACTTGACAGCCTGAAAAGATAACCCAGCCAGGAAGGAGAACTCACTCGAGCGGATCCTGGTTGCTCGAGACTGAAGGACTGGGTCCACCAGACCGGGAGAGCGCCAGGACCCTCAGTGTGTACTAGGAGACCAAGGGGACCTCCTGGATACCTAGGGCCTGACCCAGGAGCGGTTCTGCGGAGTGATGCGACCGCTTAGCCTCCACAAAGCGTTCAGCTGCGTATCTCTAAGAAAGGATAAAGTCTCACACTACCTACACTCGTGGGCTGTTTCTTCCAGTTGACTTTATGTTTGCTTAAAACCTGCACTGGGATGTTGGACAGGAAACAAAATCGCACTGGATACCCTAATTCTATTTGTCCACTTGTGTGCTTTACAGTTATACCTGGGCCGAGCTTGACACAGTCTTGTAATAGAGGTCTTCTTTACGGGTGTGTTTGAAACAAAGCTTTGGGACAAATTTTAGAAGGCAATACAGTCAAATAAATATGATGAAGAATTGGGCGTGGTGGTGTGTGTCTTTAATTCCAGCACTTGGTAGTCAGAGGCAGGCAGATCTCTGTGAGTTTAAGGCCAGTTTTGTCTACAAAGTGAGTTCTAGGACAACCAGGACTACATAGAGAGACCCTATCTCAAAAAGGGGGGTTATGTGAAAATACAAATAGGTAAACAAGCATTTCTGAGAAGTATGATTTTAGGGCTCTCCTAATAAATGTGTGTGTTCTGAGTCTGAAACATTGTAGGTTGTAGAGAGGAAAAAGTACTGGGCGCCTGGCCTGGTGGAACCCCAGCAATCCCAGATCCTAAGGAGGTAGATAGGAGAGGGGGGAAAGAAAGAAAGGATAGAGGGAGAAATGGAGGCAGGAGTGAAGAAATGAATGAATGAATGAATGAATGAATGAATAGAAAATTAGGTGCTAAGTTAGTGATAAGACAAAAGCCCCTGCATATAAGAAGAGACAATGCCCTTTATTTTTGCCACAAAGTGCTTTTAAAATAGAAAAGTGTAATCTAGCTTGTATTACTTAACTTTTGGAATTTCAAATAGAGCTTTTTTCCAAATAAGCTTCAGTTTTCCATTTCTATATACAAGAATCTATACCTACATTTGGCAGCTTACACCTGTAACTCCAGCACTTGGGAAATGGAGGCAGGAAGATTGCTGTGAGTTCTAGGTCAGCCTAGGCTAGAGAGAGTGTTAGAACCAATCTCAAAAAAGATGAATTTAAGGTGTTGTATTAAGACCTGGAAAATGACACTGGGATTTGATTCTTAGTACCTACAGGATCCCAGAGGATCAGACATCCTATGCCAGTCTCTGCAGGTACCAAGTGTGCACGTGTTTCACAGACATACATATAAGCAAAACACATGTACATACAAAATAAATAATCTTTAAAAGTATTGCCTTAGATTTATGTTTGGGCTTATGAGATATGCCTCCACATATTACATGTTACATATTACATAGGCAGCAGAAGGAGAGTGTGTGCCACACCAGGCATAGCTTGAACTATGACCTACACACACACACACACACACACACACACTTCCTCCAACAGGCCACACCTCCTAATAGTGCCACTCCTTGTGGGCTAAGCATTCAAACACATGAGTTTATGGGGACCATACATATTCAAACCAACACACATTATTATAGAAAAAATTATATTTTTACCTACATATCACTTTCACATCTTCTATTGAATCATATTTTGTTTATGTGAATTAAAAGATTTGCTAGTGTGGTGGCTCATGCTTCAAATCTCAGCATTTAGGAAGCTAAGGTAGTGTGAGAACCTGTCTCAAAACAAACAAACAAAATAAATGAATAAATACATAAATAATTGGCATGTTGAGAAATGCTATCACATATAAATAGGCTGGATTTTATTCACACAGCAAATGTTTACAGAATGTCTGCTACTGAAATAACATAGAGAGGAAGGGCAAACATGCTCTGTCCTCATCTATTTTGGAAAGAAAAAAATTACAGGTAATTAACCTCCAAACGTCTATAATTTAGTTGATAAATGCTATGGAAGAAAAATACATAAATACTTGGGCATATATTGGAGAATTCATCCTTCAAGAGGGGAGGGGAGTAAGCTGAGAATGACTCCTTTGAGCTAAAGTTCACACAGAACTCTCAGGACCGGCAGGTGCAGCCTGCAGCCAGAAGAGCCACTGTAGAGCCACAGGTGCTGGGGCTGCCGAAAGAACTGGATACATTGGGCAACAAGTGAGGGAATGCTGCATTAACACTGGGTGAGATTACAGAGGCAGCCAGAGAGGGAAGGAATGTAGGTGCTTGCTTGGAGGGTGTTTTGGTTTGTTCGTTTTGTCTTGAGTTCTCTTGAATCCCCGGCTAGCCTCACCATGGATGGCCTTGCACTTTTGATCCTCCTGCCTCAGCCTCATCAGAGCTGGGATTACTAGCGAGCACCACCAAGCTCGATTTGAGACTCTTTTGGAATCTAGACCTCTTGCTTAAAGCATATGACCCCCGCATCACCTCAGTCAACTTTGTGGAGTTAGTGTTACTCTAGCCCCCAACTTTAGCTGCACATCTCCCGCCTAATTGTCCCTTCACCCTGTGACAGCACTCTTGTTTCTAGATGGCTTTTCCGGTCTATAGATATGTCTGACCTTTTTGTAGAACATCAGATGTCTCCTTTATTCTTTATGCTCACTTCCCTAAGCTGTGGACTGTGGCTTTGATAACATGCTTATACCTCACAAGAGTCCAATTCCAGTAGAACCTAGCTATGCCATTATCTGCACGAAAGCAACCCAGTCATAGCCAGATGAGTGACAGGCAGCACTCTAGAATGTTCAGTGAGTGATTTTAGGTCATCCCCTAGCTCTTAGGTCTTTCTATAATGGAATCTAAAGTTTATACAGCACAGAGAGGCCTTTGAAAGAAGAAACGTGGTTCGGGATGCCTCTCAGTTCGTAGGCCGTTTGACTGTCATGCATGAAACCCCGGGTGTGACCTCCAGCAGCACATGAAACCAGGCATAGTAATAGTTCACACCTGTTATCTGGCATTGAGAGGTAAATGCAGAAGATCAGAAGTTCAAGGTCATGGGGGGGTGTTCAGTGTTGGCCTAGAATACATGAGACTCTGCCTCAAAAAGAAAGGAAAAAAGGTATCCAAATACAATTAGTATGAGTATGCATTTACAGTGAGGAAGCAAGTCATCAAGAGTTACTGTAGCCTTCTTTCTAAGATTTCCAGATGATATCTGGACTCTCTTTATGCATAAACTTCCTGCTTATACCTTGGCATTCCCTCTCCACCAGCATACTCTACCCTTCCCTCCAGGGGCCTGTGCCTTATGCAAAAGCCTCCTAAGTTTTGTTGCTGTCTCCTGGTGTTCCAGTCCATTGAGGCTATTACAAAGAAGCACAGCAGATTGGACAAGTTGCAAGCACTAGAACTTCACGTTTTAGGCACCAGGAAATCCAAGCCCATGGAGCCAGGAGGCTTGGTCTCTAGTGAGGGCAGATTCCTCATAGAATGTGCCTTTAGTCACTTCATGAGATAGCAAAGATAGCTCCCTCAGGTTCCTTTTTATAAAGCATTAATTGGTAGCCTCCTGATGGCTGGGCTCATTGTCCTGGTGGACAACGTTTTCAGCATGTGGATTTTATGGAGACACAAACAGACAAACATTAGCTCCCTGCACACCCACTAATCCTCTTGCTGATTTTGCCTGTTCCCTGCAATTATCCCCTCTCTCCATTGCTAGGAGTTGATCCCGGAGTTTTGTGTGTGTGTGTGCGTTAGTGTCAGTTTGAATGAGAAACGTCCCCGTAGTCTTGGGGACTATGTTGAATACTTGGTCTGCAAGTTAGTGTCACTGTTTGAGGGGTTTAGGAGGTATGGCCTTGCTGTAGGAAGTGAGTCACTAGAGGCAGGCTTTGACTCTCTGGCCACTTCCAGTTTGCTCTCTCTGCTTTTTGCCCTCTCAGCTCCCATTCCTGCTACCTTGCTTGCCTCTTGCCATACCTCTGCTCTATTATCATGAGCTTAATCTCTCAGAAATTATAAATCAGAATAAACTCTTCCTTCTATACGTTGC